TTCGCGGGTCTCGAACCCGCGGGCTCAGGCATTCCACTCACCTCAGCCTCCCAAAGGCGTGGGATTACAGGCTGAGCCACCGAGCCCGGCGTAGCTCATTTTTCTATGCAAGTAAAAGCACAACCCTTTAAAGCTGGGAAGTAGCTCTGAGATGCGCAAATCCAGCCGCTTCATTTTTATAGATGAAGAAACGAATACTTTTATTCATAAAATAATTAGTTCCTGATTTATCACAAAGGATATATGTAATGGATGCATGGTAGGCATTTGTTTAGACTTGTGAGACAGTGTGTGACTCGAACTTGGAATATTGTGAACCTTTCTTCGGTGGGCGGGCTTCATTGCAGATCACCTGAAAGAGCCGTTTCTAGCAGCCACTGAGAATTCCCGCTTGAGGTCCATGCCAGCAAGCTTCCTGCCTCCTTCGACGGTGAACAAACGAGGTATTCTTTGAGTGGCTTTGTGTTCTAAAGGAGTCCGTGTGCCACGTGGCACATTCAAGGCTAAGTTGACTCTCCTGGGAATCACATGCGGCTGAGAGTCAGTGACTGTGGGTGAACGCGTCACTAATACCCAGGACAATTTTAGGATCCGTTTAGCTCTACTTAACATTGAGTCACGGAAGTCACTGTGCGAGTCCCTGGGGATTCAGCAGTTCAGAGAGTCCTTGACCTAGAGAAGGCAGTCTTCTAGTTGAGAATGTAGGCAGACAGCTTTACGACCCTGTGGATTCAGTCTGTGATAAAGCCCTGTTCAGAGTACCACGGACTCGCTGTGAAGGCGGGGGGAGCTTGTGAAACGGGGGTGGCCAGGGAGGAGGTGGCAGGGAATGAGGGGGACAGAGCGGTGGGACTTGCAGCAGGTGGCATCACATCTCCCCAGGCCGGGAGGGCGGAGGAATGGCAGCGTTCTCAAGGAAGCTGTGGTGTCCTAGGTGTGTGGGGGTGTCCGGGGCGACAGGCAGGATCTGTGGATAGTGGAAAGTCACTGAAAGGTTTTTTAAAATCGCTTTTTTGAGATGTGAGTCATAAATCGCTCATGTGTCCATTTCAGGGCACGTTCCAGGGATTTTTTAGTATAACGTGCAGCCGTCACCAGAGTCAAACTGAGAACGTTTTTATCAGCAGCCACTCCCTCCCTGCCCCCACCCAGCCCCAGGCTTCCCCCGATTTACCCGCTGTCTCTGGTTGCCTCTTCTGGACGGACTGGAAGGGGGACGGTGTGGTGTGTTGTCCCTTGTGGGTGACTTTCCATCTGGCACGTGGTGTTTCTGAGGCTCGTTCCTGTGGCGGTGTGTCGGGGCTTCGTTTGTTTTCATGGCCAGGTCCTCTTGCACTGGTGGCTCGGCCACAGCTTGCTCACTCCCTCATCAGCTGGTGGACCTTCGGGCTGTTTCCCCTTCTGGTTATTGCAGACAGTGCTGCTTGCACCTCAGTGAGTGAGTTTTTGTGTGGACAGCAGTGTTTGTCTTGCTTGGGTGTAAGCTGGGAGTCGTCTTGCTGGGTCCCAGGGTCACCCGGTTTAACTTTCTGCAGACCTGCCGGGCTGCTTTCCGAAGCGACTGCCCGGGCCGCGTCCCCGGCAGCAAGTGCCAGCGCTGCCGTCTTTCCACATTCTGGCCAGCACTCGACGTCTTGTCTCTCTGTGGGGCCATCCTAGTTGGTGGGATGTGGTTTCGCTTTGGGTTTGTTTCTCTTGCGTGTAGCGATGCTGGCTGACATCTCGTCACACACTTATAGGCCATCTGCTTTGGAGGAATATGTGTTTAGACTTCGAAATTTTCTTTATTGGGCAAATTAAAAAATTATGTATTGTTGAGTTTTAAGAGTTCTTTAGAGATCTTAGATCCACATCCCTTATTAGAGACATGGTTTGCAAAATTTTTCTCATTCTGTGGGTTTAACTTTCCACCTTTCTTGATGGTATCCATCGACATACAGAAGTTTTTAATTTTTCATGAAGTTCAGCTCATTTTTTCCTTTGTTGAATTTACTAATTTTCTTCTAAGAGCTTTGTAGTCTCAGCTCTTACGTGCAGGTCTCCGACCCCCCTTGAATTACATTCTGTGTGTGTCACGAGGAAGGTTCTAGCATCATCTGCTCGTTATGGATGTCCAGGTGTCCTGGCACCGTTGGTTGAAAGACGATTAATTCCCCCACTGAGGGTCTTGGCACTCTAGTTGACATTCAGTTGACCGTAAGTGTTAAGGACTTATTTCTCTCAATAATATTTTGTGGTTTTCAAAACAGATTTTGCGTTTCTCCTGTTAGATTTATTCCTAAGGATTTCACTCTTGATGGTGTTGTAAATGGAATTGTTTTTCTGATTTCATTTAAGATTTCTCATTGCTAGTATACCGGAATACAGTGGATTTTGCTTGTTCAGCTTGTATCTTGCAATCTTGCTGAGCTCATTTATGAGTTCTAATGGTTCACTGAAAAGTTTCAAACGAAGTGTGCCATGACCAGATTTTTACTTGAGGAATATTACCCTGACGTTTTTGTGGAACATGGCTTGGAGGGAAGCTCAGACTGAAACATGCAGGAAGGTTCTTGATTGTTCTCTGAGTGATGAGAAAAGGCTAGAGCCAAGGTGTGAAATGAAATGTCGTGGGTGGGCTTGGGCGACGTCCAGGATGCAGGGCTATGAACCTTGGTGATTACCTGGCGGTTGGAGCGAGGCACCTTGAGGTGGCGTCTGGGGGTCTGGCTCCGACGGCTTGGGCAGCCTTTCCTGACACAGGCGCAGGAAGGGGCTTCCTTCAGGGAAGTGGGGGAGGTGAGGCGTTCCCTTGGACCCCCGTAGTCCCCTTCTCTGTCGTCTGAGTTCCCCACGGCCCACTGCGGTCCGGAGCCACGAACTGGGAACTTGCGAAGCCAGCAGCGCCGTAGCGCAGACGAGGTGCCATCCGAGGAGGAGGGTGCGGTCTCTCCTCACCCTGCCCGTCACTTGGGAGGCGAGTCCTCGCTTTGTCCGGTGTGTCCGTGGCATCGCAGGGCTGGTGTTCCAGGTGCCCTACCTGCTCCTACTGACCCCCAGTGCAGAGAAGAGTGCCGCCGGCAGTTTGCATGCGCAAAAGCAGCTGCAGGGTGCTTCCTTTGAGAGACGGGGCAGAACTTGCTACTTAACAAGGAACAGGGGGCAGGGGGAAAGAACCGCGTGCGGAGGCTGCTAGGGTTCCCGGCCAGAACAAGTCCACTCGTGAAGCTGGCGCTAGTTTTGCTGTCACACCTCGGCGGCGGAACTGCCCCTGGGGCTCCGTGCTTAGTGAGCGGGAAGGGCGGGAGGCGCAACAGAAGCCTGTCTCCGCTGAGGGCTGGGCTGAGCCTTCTGTGGGGTCAGGCGTCCTCCGGGGTTCTGGGAGGTGACTCCCGTGCCCCAGGGGCCCTGCCACATTGGGGGCTGGGGGGTCTGGGCCCAGAAGGGCCGAACATGGAGCCAGGGTCCGCTGGAGGAGGCCGGGCACAGCCCAGCAGCCATGGGGTCCGCCTCGGTGCCAGGCGGGGGCCGGGTGGGGCTGGGCGCGGGCCACAGAGGGGAACGAGCTCCGAATGCGGGGCGACTTCCTAGTCAGTGACAGCAGACGTGCGACGGCTTTGTATACGTTCTAAAAGAATGCCCCACAGGTCGGCTGCCTTCAGGCTGTGCGGTCGTCTGTGTGTCTGTCTCAGATGAAATCAAGTCAGTGTTTCTTTAGAAGTCACGGAGGGTGGCTCAGCCTGTCATACCAGCACTTTGGGAGGCTGAGGTGAGTGGATTGCCTGAGCCCGCGGGTTCGAGACCAGCTCGGGCAACTTGGTGCGACCTCGTCTCTACAATAAATAAAAAATGAGCCGGGCGTGGTAGCGCGCACCTGTAGTTACGGCTACTTGGAAGGCTGAAGCCCAGCAGTTCGAGGCTGGGGTGGCCATGAGTGCGCCACTGCATTCCAGCCTGGGCGACGGAGTGAGACTCCGACTCTGAAACAAACAAACAAAAAAGAAGTCACTGAGGCAGGACTCCAAGCAGGGGTGACAATTGGCTAGGGGTCCTGAGGACAGCCCGGCTGGAGGGCACGCGGGGCCAGAGTGTGCAGCTTTTTGCTTCTGCATTTTGATCAAGGGGCTGATCTTCAGATGAGACTCAGGTGAGGTTTGTCCTCCGAGCCGCTGTGGGATGACGGCGAGGCTCGGCCTGCTTCGTGTCTCCTTGAACCGTGCCGTGGCTGTGGCTGTGTGTAATCGCCCAGGCCGGCGCGTCCCCTCGGCACTGCAGACGCCTCCAGAGTGTGCGGGCAGCCGGCGCTGCTGTCGTGTCCACGTGTCCTGGCTTTTCTTTCCGTGGAAGACCTGCTCTGTGCCCGGGGCCTTTGCAGCCTTCTCCTCTGTGTCAGTTCTGCCCCCGTCGGACTCTCGGCAGGCTTGCACGCGGTTTCCTGGGGCACGGAGACTGTGTGCGCGCGCGTCGCCGGGCCTGCAGTGTGAGGCGCCGGGGGACGTTGGCTCCGTGGGCCCTTGCGGTGTGGCTCTGTGCGCTTTAGCCGCCGTTTGCGTCCTGTGTGTTCCCGTTTTTCGGACTCACCGGCTCGCCCGTGGGCGGGGATCCTGGCTTCCGCTGCCTGAGCGAGGCCCTCAGCCTGCCTGTCCCCCACAGGGGTGCTGCTCCTGGGAGACGCGTTCAACATGCGGCACCCGCTGACGGGCGGGGGCATGACGGTGGCCTTGAAGGACGTGAAGCTGTGGAGGCGGCTGCTCGGGGCCATCCCCGACCTCTACGACGATGCGGCCGTCTTCCAGGTGAGATGCGGGGGCTGGGCCGTCCAGGGAGCTAGCTGCAGGGTGGCCAGGGCGCCCCAGCTCGCAGGCCTGGTGCAGGCCTCTGGGTCTGGGGCGTCTCCTGGAGTGCTGTGACCGCGGTGCTCAGGGCTGGCCCCTGTTCTGAAGACGTTCGTCTCGTGAGTGACGACAGGGAGGGTCAGTGATGGCCGATTTTCAGAGGCGACCCCTGTGTGCCCAGGCGGCCGTCGGGGCGTGTCCCCTGCGTGGGGTCCCCAGGTCAGAGTTGGCTGGAGGGCGAGAGGAACATGCGTGTGCTTGTTCCCCTACCGTATAAGGGTGATATCTTTCTTTTTTAGGCCAAAAAGTCCTTCTATTGGGCCAGAAAAACGTCTCATTCCTTTGTGGTGAACATCCTCGCTCAGGCTCTCTACGAATTGTTTTCTGCCACCGACGGTGAGTTGGACGTTTCCTGGTGAACATTACTGAACTGTCGCGTTTTAGCTCAGGGAAGGAATGGAACAGTTAGTGATTAGCACAGAAGTCCAAATGTTACCTGAGTTGGTGACTTCCAAGTTGGTAGTTATTTTTGTTTTGCCTTTTTTTTTTAATTTTTAAATTTTTTTTTGAGTTGGAGTCTCACTGTTGCCCAGACCGGAGTGGAGTGGCCGCTCCCGGCCACCGCAGCCTTGCCTGCTGGGCTCTGGCGATCCTTCCGCCTCAGCCTTCCGAGTAGTCGGAATTACAGGCACGCACTACCACGCCCGGCTGATTTGTGATTTATTGTAGAGATGAGGTCTCGCCAAGTTGCCCAAGCGGGTCTCGAACCCGCGGGCTCATGCCATCCACTCGCCTCAGCCTCCCAAAGGCGCGGGATGACAGGCTGAACCACTGAGCCCGGCTTTGTTTTGCTTTTAAAGAGATGGAGTCTCACTCTGTCACCCAGGCTGGAGTGCAGTGGCACGATCATAGCTTACGGCAGCCTCAGACTCCTAGGCTCAAGCCATTCTCCCGCCTCAGCCTTCCAGGTAGCTGGAACTACAGCAATGAGCCACCATGCCCAGCTGGTTTTTAATTTTTATTTTGTACAGACAGGGTCTTGCTAGGTTGCCCCGGCTGGTCTCAGACCCCTGCCTCATCTTCCCCAAAGTGCTGGGATCACAGGCAGGAGCCACCACACCCAGCCCTGGCAGTCCTTTTTAACTCGATCCTTGAGCAATGTTTCGTAGCTCCCAGTCATCGTGCACCCTGTTGTGTCTGGAAGGCGGATGAGGTGGAACAGCATGGGTACAAACCTCACTTCAGTAGGTGATGCGATATTTGGAATTTTCTGGTCCGAACTAGATCAAGCATAACCCCCAACGCACACGATGGTGATGGATGGGTTTTCTGGCCGTGTGTTAAAAGGCGACCCAGTCTGTCTCCCGAACGTTAGTTTCTGCTTCGCAGTGTTTTACAAAATGAAAATTAGGTTCTGGTCAAGTTCAGGGTTTCTCTCGATTAAAAAGCACTGGTACAGAGTGCACCCCTGTTCTCGTCTGAGCTGCCCCTGTGCTTCCATCTGCATGTGGTGCCCCCTCCCAGCCCAAGAGTGGGCAGGCCAGGAATGGGGGCCCTAGTGGAAGGAGGCGGCTTCCAGGTTTCCGAGAGCGAGCACCACGCAGTTCCCTTCCCCCCAGGTCCCTTCCCCCCAGTGCGTTGGCAGCGCGGCCCACACGGCTGGCCGAGCCCTGGCGACTGGGGCTTTGGTTACACCGATGATGCAGTGTAAATGCTTCCTGTTGTCTCTGTAACCATCAACTCTTGTTAGAAACAAGACAAACCTGCAGAACAACTCACTGAGTGTGAGTTTCCCAGGAAGTCTCTCTTGCTGAACTGGCCTGGGAGTTCAAGTGACTGGCCGAATCGACTGACAAAACGACATTAAAAAATGTGGAAGATTAGGGAGGAAAGAGTTTTATTGGAGCACAAGTTGCCTTGTTGCATCTTTTTATTTTCTTTTATTTTTGCGTCAGGGCCTCCCTCTGTTGCCTAGGCTGGAGTGCAGTGGCACAGTCACGGTTCACTGCAGCCTCCAACTCCTGGGCTCAAGCCATTCTCTCTTCTCAGCCTCCCGAGTATCTGGGACTACAGGTGTGCACCACCATGCCTGGCTAGATTTTGACTCTTTGTAAAGAACGAGGTCTTGCTTTGTTGCCTGGGATGGTCTTCAACTCCTGGGCTCAAGCAATCCTCACACCTTGGTCTCCCAAAGTGCTTGGATTACAGGTGTGAGCCACTGTGCCCAGCCTGCATCTTTTTAAAAAACGTGTTGTCAGCCGGGCTCGGTGGCTCAGCCTGTAATCCTGCGCTTTGGGAGGCTGAGGTGAGTGGATTGCCTGAGCCCGCGGGTTCGAGACCCGCCTGGGCAACTTGGCGAGACCTCATCTCTACAATAAATCAAAAAATTAACTGGGCGTGGTAGCGTGCGCCTGTAGTTCCAGCTACCTGGAAGGCTGAGGCGGAAGGATCGCCAGAGCCCAGCAGGTCGAGGCTGCGGTGGCCGGGAGCGGCCACTGCACTCTAGTCTGGGCGACAGAGTGAGACTCCAACTCACAAAAAACAAAACAAAAAAACAACAAAAAATGTGTTATCAAGACAAATCTAGGCATACTTGAAAAGGACATTTTAAATTGTTGAAAAGGTTATTGATTGTACCATGATGTGAGGGTTTAATGAGTTACTTTGAAAAGTTCTAAGCTCTACAGACATAAAGCACTTTTATTACTTGCAGCTAGTTTTACTTGATAATTTACTGCTTAGTGTTATGGGTCAGGCATGTGACACTGGGAATTTGATTTCTAGAATTGTGTTTTTATAACAAAGCATTTACAAAGTATTATGTATGCATCATTTAATGAATTAACAGCAAAAGCAAGGAAATAATTTTTAAACAATTCCAACTTCTGAGACAAATGTAATTGTTTACTAAGAGAAAAAGGTCTGTTCATATTTATATTCTACTCATAATGTTGATTATGGGATTTAAAAGAAATCCTGTTTTTTGGACTTCTAGGACTAGATATTTAAAAACACTTGTGAGGTCTATATTTGTACTTTGTTATTTTTTCTGACTTATCATTAGCACCCTAACATACATGTGTCCATACTTTGAGTGCAAGTAATTCTCAAATTCTATTTTAGAGTCGCTGCATCAACTAAGAAAAGCTTGTTTTCTGTACTTCAAACTTGGTGGCGAGTGTGTGGCGGGTCCCGTTGGGCTGCTGTCTGTGTAAGTTGCTTGGACGGCGGAGGGCGGGTCCTCCGGGCAGTTAGTGCACGTCCTTGTTCCTCCTGCTGTCGTCACTGGATTGCTCATCAGTGCCCCAGGCAGAAGGTGCTGCAGAGAATGGAAAAGGCACCCGAGGCCCGCTCTCCTGGGGCAGCTCTGATGGCCGCGGCATGGGGTGGGGCGGCCTGGCCTTGGCAGACAGCAGCTCGCCTCTGCCTCTGCCTCTGCACTGACGCGCACCCCCTCTCTGCGGGAGCCGTGACAGGGGGAGATTAGCACTGAAGCATTCCTTGGATGGAAGTGCATGGACGCCTGCCGCTCAGTGCTAGCCCTGACAGTGCAGACAGCTGGAATGCTTCTTGGGAAGTCTGCAGATGACGTTCTTGGAGCCATTTCTCGCTCGCCTGTAATCTGAAGGCCAGCACGGGACTGACACATTTACAGAGCCCCAGACTCCAGCAGGCCAGGCCGTCGGGGTCCGCCGGGCTGGTCTGAAGACAAGTGCGGAGAGCTGCTCCAGACAGGGGATGTGTGTAGAGTAGTGGGACGGAGTTACTGGCTTCTCTCAAAGGGAGGCATTCTGAGAGGGTTCTGGTTACAGCTGCATCTGCTCCTGCCTGGAACACAACGTGCAGACACAGGCAGGTACAGGCCTCAAGGTGCAGAACGTGTGCTGAGCTTCATGGGCGATGCCTGCTGGAGACGGCGTGACTCCGAATCTCTGGGCTGACATGCCTGTCTGTTTTCTGTTTCAGGTTGTCCCCCAACCCCCTAGTGTTAATCGGACACTTCTTTGCTGTTGCCATCTATGCCATCTATTTTTGCTTTAAATCGGAACCTTGGATCACAAAGCCCCGAGCCCTTCTCAGTAGCGGTGCTGTGTTGTACAGGGCGTGCTCTGTGATATTCCCTCTGATCTACTCGGAGATGAAGTACCTGGTGCATTAAGCTGGAGGGCCGCGTTTGCGAACGGGTGTTTGGAACCCACGTCCTCAGAGGCTTCGGAAGCGCATGTGTGCAGCACAGTGCGGCACGGCTTCTCCCGTGGAAACTCGGACCGAGGCTGGGCTAACTGGCTCCTGAAGCTTTTGTACATAAACGTGTAAATACATGCTTTCATTTGCAACTTAAAATGAAAGGGTGAGATAAGTTAGATATTTAAAGGAAATGATTTACCATAAATTAGTGCTGATGCTGAGGAACTGCAAGCTTTCCTTTGAGGGTCGTGTTTGGGGTGAGTGGTTGGGGTGTGCAAATAAAGCGATGACCTTTCACGCCTGTTTCTTGTGAGCCTCATCATGCTTCTTGACCTTGGAAGCGGGGACGTGCTCTGTCTCTGGGGGGAGTTGCCCTAATGTCTCTGGACTTCTTGTCTATCCAGCGAAGCAGTTTGATACGGGTTTTAGAAATGGATGTATTTATTTTGGTGCCGTGACTCGTATTTGAACTGAAAAGTTGTTTTCTGAGTTCTCTGAAAACAGCAGATTCTGACAGGAGCAGCCTTCAGGACTCCGTGAGTGCCACTGCATAACATTCCCAAGCGGGATCTGGGCTCTTTCCAAAAATGGTGGGCACCTGGCACGCCTGCTGCAATGCCTTGAAGTCCGTTTGTCCACGGGAGATGTGAAGAGCTTCGGGGATATATAGGGCATCACGCAAGTCCAGCAAACCCCGGGTGTCGTGAATGAAAATTTACCCCTGAAAAAGCAGGAAACTGTAGCCTGGAAAACGAGACGAGTTCCAGTTTTGGCGACTAGGGCTAAAGCAACCTGAGAAGCTCATGTGATGAAAATGTCTTCCAGCTCGGAAATTCTAGTTCAGAAGTGCTCCGTGGCTCGTCACCAGCAGGACAGTCCCCACGTCCCCTTGTTTCAGCTGAGCATGCTTCATGAGCTTCTCGGCAAACCTGTCCCTGCCTTCTGCTTTCTGGCTAAAAATGCATTTTCTCAGGTCTGGCCTTGTTAGCAGCCGGCTCTCTTTTCACAGATAGCTAAAGATCTCAAGTGACATAGTGACTGTTAGCAAGATGACAAGGGAGCGGCAGCGAGGTAGTTTTGAGATGTGTCTGTCCCCACGCCCCGCCCCGCTGGGGTGAGGGTCTGAGCTCCCCGCGGGCTTGGGGCCCCTTCACTCAGTCCTGCCTGAGCCTGGGTGTCCTGGCTGTGGGCCACTGTGCTCCCTTTAAGATCCCACAGGACAGGGAAGTAGTCGAGGCCCGTAAGGTCTCTTCTTCCCTGCAGTACCTCAAGATTTGAGGCCTCGGGACAAAGAGCTACGAAGACGGAAGGAACCCGAGAAGTCATCTAGCCTGGTTTCACAGGCGATGCCAGTGGGCCGGGGGGGGGGGCTGGAGGCGGAGGCAAGATGGGCCTTGGCCATGGCCTGCTGCCAGCCCCCCTCGCGGAAGGACGCCACGCACCCTCCAGGTGCCGGGTTTCGTCTTCTGTCGTGCTTGGTCTTCGGCCATCGGTTCTGGGCGGAAGCGTCCTCCGAGTTGGCGTCCAGGCTGCGCAGCAGGGTGGCAGTCTCCTCCTCGGTGGTCTTCAGGCCGAGCGATGGAGGATTTTGAAGAGTGGGGCTGAGCTGTTATCAAGACAAGGAAGATCTGGCTCCTGGCTAGCAGCGTGGCTGTGGGAGCTTGGGGCAGGGCTGGGGCTGCTGAGCGAGGAGGAAGCTGGAAGTTGCAGCCGGGGTTGGGGAGTCCTCAGAAGGGGCATGAGGGGCTGGAGAGGACGGCGAGCCTCAGACGCCCAGAACCTTCCGCGGGGCACGGCACCGGTGGAGCGGCCCTGCATCTGCTCCCGGTCTGGCTGTCACCGTGTGCCTGCCGGCCGGTCGTGGGTGGCTCCCCGCACCCACCAGAGCCATCTCCTATCTTCCCATGCCATCCTCCCAAAAACCTGGGCTTGCACAGGCTTCTTTAGACCATAAAACGATTTATTTATATGTAACAGTTACATTCAGCATTTGTAAGAGGTGGTACAAAAACGTGTTCTGCTGCTACATGATATAAATTGCATATGATACCATGATTTAAGCGTTAGTTACATAAACCAGTGCAATGAGAAGAATCTTAGAATGCCTGTCGTTTCCCACAAGAGAGGGCGGAAAAAAATGCAGCTGTCTGAGTGTTGAGTCTCTTCTCACTTCCAAGTTCATCTCTGTGGTGGTGGGAAGATTTAAGGACAACTCCTCCATTAAAGCAGCAGGAAAAACGTCACAGGACTGTTCTGAACTCGTCAAAAATGAAATTAGGCACGTGTGCTTCAGCAACCTGAAAAAGTGATAAAGTGATTCCATTATTCACGATGCTACATTGAGAAAGTTAAGCATTTTCCCTATGAAGAAAGGAAGATGTCCTCTGGAGCAAGGGGAAGCCCAGGGGAAGGAGACACACTGGACGCGCCTGGCACGGCCCTTCCGGGTGCCTCCACGGGTCTCCCCTCTTGGCACTGCCAGCATCCAGGGGATGCTCCTTGGCGCTCCACGTTGCACTTGGCCTTCCCCTCTGAGCGACGCCGCAAATCGAGCGAAACACGCAGGTGCCCCCTCTTGGGGGGACACAGATTGTGGGTGATTACACGGGACGGACATGCCACTGTACATTTCTTTTTTTTTTTCTGAGTTGGAGTCTCACTTGGCTACCCAGGCTGGAGGACAGTGGCATGCTCACGGCCAATGCAGCCTTGACCTGCTGGGCCCTGGCGATCCTTCTGCCTCAGCCTTCCAAGGAGCTACAGGTGCATGCTAGCACACCCGGCTAGTTTTTGATGGAGAGACGAAGTCTCACCAAGTTGCCCAGGCTGGTCTCGAACCCAAGGGCTCCCAAAGTGCTGGAAGGACAGGCTGAGCCCAGCCAATTTTTCAAAAAAGCATGTTTTTCGAAGTTTTCCACCCCAAAACAACGAAAAACTTATGTCCCGTTTGAAATTTGTCAAGTTGCTGGTTCCTCAGTTGAGAAGTGCTGTTCAGGAATCATGAGTTCGTCCTCCCATGTCTTGGGATAAGACCGGACAATAAATCACATACTGTCAGTGTGGGAGGAAGAAAAGAAGACGGCGCTGTCCGCCCGAATAGAAAAACCCCGGGTGGAAGCCAGCACCCAAACTACTATTGCACAGCATGTATCCGTGAACCTGCAAGGCATGTCGGTGACAGAAAAATGTAAGATACACATCTTGATTTTTCTGTCATAAACAACCCTCGATGTCCAAAATTCCGCTGTCAACCAAGTGTCATTGCAAGGTCATGGGTTCCAGCGCTACTGATCCTGCTTGATGCGAAGTGACTTGTTTTTCGCTACTTCATAAAAAAGCGTGGCCCAGCTGCTGGCAGGTGCAAAAGGTTAGAGGTGCTCTGGTCTCCGGGTTCCTGCCTCTGGGAAAGCCTGGGATGGGGGTCACCTCACAGGCTTTTTGCCTGGGGACCAACCCAGAAAGAGCAGGACGGCTGGCGAGGGGTGGGGTGGGGACAGAAAGCGAGGCACGAAGGCCCTCAGGTGTGCCCTCCTCACCTGCCCCAGGCCAGGCACAGCAGGGAGTGGGCGGAGCTAGACTAGAAGCGGTGATTTTTTTCTGATTATAAAGGTATCACTTGCTAATTAGGGGAATTTTAGCCAATGCAGAAGAGTATGAAAGAAATGCTCTCCAGTCTTCATCCTTTGGAGATGAAAACCGGTGACTTTGGCATTGACTTCTCCCAGCCCACCCACACACTGAAAACAGACCCCAACCCTCGTGTCCTTTACCCGCGGAACCATCAGGCAAATTCCCAGCAGTGGGATTGCGGGAATCAGGGCTGAGTATGTTCCAGGCTTGCTTTGTTGTGTTGTGTTTTCTTGGGTCCGAGTCTCACTCTGTCGCCCAGGCTGGAGTGCAGTGGCATGATCATGGCCATCGCAGCCTGGACCTGCTGGGCGCAGGGGAGCCTTCCGCCTGAGCCTTCCAAGTAGCTGGAACCACAGGCATGTGCCACCACGCCTGGCTAACCTTTTGGTTTATCATAGAGACCAGGTCTTGCCATGTTGCTCAGGCTGGTCTCGAACCCTGAGCTCAGGCAGTCTTCTCGCCTCTGCCTCCCAAAGTGCTGGGGTTACAGGCCTGAAGCCCCGCGCCTGGCCTGTTACAGGTCTGAAACAAAAAGCCGAACCGCCCCCCCAAGGGCCGAGCCGATCCGCGTGCACTGAACGCACTCTCACAGCCGCCCTCTTCTCAGGCCTCCGGGGAACGGCCCGGGGTTTGACTTTGCTCATCTGATGGTCGAGGCAGCCACGTTCCCGTTACCTGGATTTCTGCCCCTTAGTCCAAATGATGTTTGTCTCTTGTGTTGCTTTTCCTACAAGCTGCCTGTAAATACCCTTCGCCCATGCTTCCCTTTAGTCGTCTTTTTCTTACTGAACCTGAAGACTTGACGAGCAGGCCGTAACTCAAGGATTCTGGCCCTTCGTTGATCCTTTCTTTTTAACTGAGACACATGGCGGAGAATGGCTTCATCACATTCAGCATTTATAAGAGCTCACATTTCTACATCTTCTCCTCTGCAGTTTCCTCTTTTGGTGGTAGACTTGGGAAGCTCTGAGCTGATGCTTGCGTGTCTCAAATTTCTGCTAATTTATTTCCTCATGTTCCACACTAGCCCTGTGCCCGTAATTCGTTTTGGTAACAGAAGACGCAAAAGAGCAGCCTGCTACTTTCTCCCCACACGAAGAACTCGCTGACCCACTCGTCCCTCTTGCTCCCGTCCTTACAGTCGTGAACGCGGGGCCACGTGCATCTCGGCTGCAGGTTCCAGCCCATCCTTCCTTCTGTTTGGCCACATTCCAGGACCACACTCTTTGTTCTTGTAGTTGGGCCACGTTACAATATTTTATCACTTTGGAAATTTTTTTAAAGTCCCGTTTAGCCTAAGTCCTATGAAATATCTTAAAAGATATTTTTTGAAGCCAAAAAATTACTGCACTTTGATTATAACCAGTAAACCTAGGAACTCAAAGAACTGTTAATCTCCAGAGTATTCAAGTACCTTCATTTGGAAATCTGGATTTTCAAACTTTATACTTTAAAATGTTATAGGTTTTTTTGGTAAACTCTTCTTTCACATTTCTTGTAGAGGTTATTCCAGCTGTATTTTATCCTTGCTATTTCTGTGGATAGTCATCTTCACACTGTATATTTTAAATTAGTTATGACGTCTTTATCGTGTACACTCAGTAGCCAGCTTGTTTTCTAAACTTATTACTTTAATAGTTTCTCATGCGAGTCTCTTGGGTATTCAAGAAGACAACTGTTTCTTAGTTAAATGCTACAGCTTGTCTTCTTTCCAATATGCCTCTCACTGGGGTTCATCTCACGGTCTTGCAAGCCATACGACAAAAGTAGCCAGGCGGGTCAACACGGTGGTCGTGTCCCTGCTGCAGTCTGACTTCAAGGGGAATGCCACTCGCATTTCCCTATTAGGTGTGGCAGGTTTCTAAAAGACCGACTTTGGCGTCTGTTATTAGAAAGTAGCTTCAACTCCTAACTGACTAATTTCAAAAACCTGAAACGATTTTTGGTGTCTCTTGAACGTCCTTCACATTTTAGCACTGAGGACTCCACCGGGAGCTGAAAGGTAGCCAAGTGAAACTGGTAAGAAAGGAAAAGGGAAGAAGTCCCTGGCGTCTGGAAATGGCGGTCCCACGCAACCTCGCCCGGCCGGGGACCCAGGTGCTGGGGAGAACGCCACCAGCTCCTGGCTGCCTGAGCTCTGGCCGCCCGTCCGGCCGAGCTCCTGGACCAGGGAGCGCCAGCGG